CCTCCTCCTCCTCCCCGGTTCCCCGGGGCAGCGCGGGTAAATCTCGCCCCGAGCCCCGCGGGTGGCGTGGGGCTGTGCAGGGGCGTGCTCTGCAGAGCCAGCCTTCCGACGGGCAGCGGCAAAGCAGCGCAGAGCGGTGCGTCTTCTGGGGGGTTTGTGAGGCTGTGGCAGCGGTGCTCGGGGTGCAGGCACCGAGGTCGCCTGGAGACGTAGAGCACCGTGGCCCAAGCACAACAGGACGAACGTGGGCACGCTGCTCCAGGCTGGAGGCAGCTGCCCTGCTGTGGCGTGGGGCTGGGACAGATAAGTCCTCAGGTACTGATCGGGCGCTGTGCAGAGAGCCGGGAGTGCAGAGCACTCCCATCCCAGTGGCTCTGCAGGGATATTTTCCTGGCTTGGCACCAGGCTTCAGAGAGCTCTCAGTTAAGGGCTTGGGAGCTCCAGGAACAGCCAGTCCAGTCCTGTGCCCCCAGGAGCTGCCTTCGTGGGGCCGTGGGAAGAACAGCGCTCATGCTGGTGGCCTTCCTGGACACCAGAGCTCTGGGAACACCCGTCGGCCTGGATCCAGGAGGCCTTTTGGCTCTGGCTTAGGGCCGACTGTTGCGCGCCTTGACCTGACCCAGGTGTCTTCACTCTTCCCCAGTGCTCCTGTGTGGTGTACCCTGATAGCCCCTTCCCGGCTCATGCTGGTGGTCTTCCTGGACACCAGAGCTCTGGGAACACCTAGGAGGCCTTTTGGCTCTGGCTTAGGGCCAACTGTTGCGCGCCTTGACCTGACCCAGGTGTCTTCACTCTTCCCCAGTGCTCCTGTGTGGTGTACCCTGATAGCCCCTTCCCGAGTGTTGGGGAGCTGTGGGCACCGCACGCTGCTCGATGCCGGCGCTGCCCTCAGCGGTGGTGGTTCTCTCCTCTTCGCTGTGCAGGCTGGTGTATGACAGGGAGACGGGAAAACCGAAGGGCTATGGCTTCTGTGAGTACCAAGACCAGGAGACGGCCCTCAGTGCGATGCGGAACCTGAATGGGCGAGAGTTCAGCGGGAGGGCCCTGCGCGTTGACAACGCGGCCAGCGAGAAGAACAAGGAGGAGCTGAAGAGTGAGTCTGAATTTTGTGGTGGAGAGCGCACTGATGTCGTGCTGGGCCTGGCCTTTTCAGCGTTACGAAGCGTGCCTCTTCTGCGAGGCTGGTGAGGTGGAGGCCTCACGGAGCTGACCTGCTCCAAGCGATGTAGCGAGTAGTTTTGCAGAGGGATGCGTGTTTTCTCTCCCAGATGATCTCCCTGTTTTTATTGCCTCCCTTTCCCCCTAATGGCATGGTGCTTCCCTTCTGATGAGCCCGTTGAACATGTCCAGTTCACGTTGCCGTACGAGGTCACAAACTCTGTTGCAGGCTTGGGCACAGGCGCACCCATCATAGAGTCACCCTACGGGGACCCTGTCAATCCTGAAGATGCCCCCGAGTCCATCAGCCGGGCAGTAGCCAGCCTGCCGCCCGAGCAGATGTTTGAGCTGATGAAGCAGATGAAGGTGAGTGAAGCGGAGGGCTGCACCCTCTGCGTGAGCACAGCTTCTACCACCGCTGCCCACGCCCTCGCAGCCCCTCTCGCGCCTTGCCAGAGCTCTGATCTGCGTGTGTCTTCTCAGTTGTGTGTCCAGAACAGCCCCCAGGAGGCCAGGAACATGCTGCTCCAGAACCCCCAGCTGGCTTACGCCCTGCTGCAGGCCCAGGTGGTCATGAGGATCGTCGACCCGGAGATCGCACTGGTTTGTCCCTTGCTGCCTCGTCCGGGGTTGGTAGGATATCGGTGGCGGCCTGTTGTGGAGGTGGGGTGGAGGAGAACTCCTTTCTCCTTCTTCTGCCCCTAGAAAATCCTGCATCGCCAGACCAGTGTTCCTCCTCTGATCCCAGGCAACCAGCAGCCAGTGCCGGGGCCTGGACCGGGACCGGGGCCTGGGCCAGGGCCAAACGCCCAGCTGAACCCGCAAAATACCCCCTCGTCCCAGCCACAGCCCATAGTAAGAGCCTACGCGACACAGGTGCCGTGTGGGGGAAAGATGGGCATTGCCAGCTCCAGCTCTCCCAGCTGGGGTGCGCGTGCCCGGGTGACGGGGCTTCCCTGAGGTCTGGTTTCTCTCCTGGGCAGGGTGGGATGCACGTAAACGGCGCTCCTCCTCTGATGCAGCCGCCCATGCAGGGAGGAGTGCCAGCCCCAGGACAGATGGCAGCCCCTGTGCAGGGCCCGGGCCCTGGCCCCATGGCTCCAGGAGGTGAGTGCGTGGGTTTTGGCTGAACGGTGCCCTGGGCACATGGGTCCTGCAGACAGCCCCCCTCTACCTTCCCCTTAACCGGAGGGCTTGGCCCCGTGAGAGCACGCCTAGTCCCATACCGTGTGCTGTGGTTGTGGCCACTGCCAGCGGCGGTTCAGAAAGCTGGCTTATCTCCGTGGGGAACCAACACCAAGAAAGTAAACCTTTGGATGCTCCCCCAGGAGCTGGAAGGGGGGAGGTATCTGGGGCCAAAGGAATCTGTTAGTGGTGCAGGGACGGCTGGGGAGGGATCTGATCTCTGCCTGTTCTCCCTCAGGTGGGATGCAGCCACAGGTTGGGATGCCAGGCGGAGGGCCTGTCCCCTTGGAGCGTGGACAAGGTAAAACAGATGTGGGTTAGTGCTGTTTGTTTTGTTGGCCTCGCTCCAGCGTGGGCCCAGGCCACGGGTGCTGAGCAGTGCTGCGCCAAGAGCCCCTGCCAGCTCCCTGCAGCCTTGCCGTCCCTGGATCCGGGGCAGCTCCCGCAGAGCTGGGCTGCACCCGGGTTTGTTCGCTTAGGCGCAAGGCTGTGGTAGCAGCTCTCCTGCTTCCAGGGCCCCAGCCCACGCACCGGTTTGCTCCCAGCTTGTCCTGCACCGTGTTATGCAGATGTGCCCTGGAAGCCAGGAGAGCTGCCAGTCCCCGCAGAGCCCCACCAAGCGGGACGTGCCTGTGTTTTCCATCTCTCTGTGAGCCCGTTTCTGTCCCTGTGCTTGAGCAGGCAGGCAGAGCTTGCTCTTCTCTGGTCCCTGTCCTGCTCCTTTGCTGCCTGGGTGCTGGGAAGCAGCTTGTGCTGCCGCCGCGTCTGCCCACGTCTCCCAGCGCTCCCTGCGCTGTGCCCGGCAGAGGGAGCTGGGCCTTCGCTTTTGCTTGCGACAGTGAGTGCGAGGCTTGGCAGGGAATTTCCCGGTGAGTGATTGCTTGGCTCTCCCTCCGCAGGCACGGTCTGTACGGCCCAGCCCCGGAGCCGGATTCCTTATGGTTCACATGTTGCGTGGCCGCCCCGTCAAATCATGCACCAGGGTTAGCACAACCAAGGCATTCCTGTTCTCCCAGTAGTAAGGCACATAGCTGACACCACTGTCGCCTTGACTTGTATCGTAGGCCTTGTTTCAGGAATGTGGCGAACTTGCTCTGAGATCCGCCGGCCCTAGGTATCTTAGGAGAAAGCTGACTTCCGTTTTCTTTGGGGTGGGCACCATCTTCCTGAGAGCAACCCGGCAGTTCTTGGCACTTTTGCTGGTACCCAGAAGGTTTTGGAGAGGAGACAGAAAGCTGGCACTGGGGAGTGCCGTGGGAAGCTGTGGGCAGGAGCAGAAGCAGAAGCTGCCCTGTGGGGCAGTGCGTTGTGGGGCGCAGCGTGGCCCTGCAGAATGCTGATTCTTTCGGCAGGACGTCCTCCTCCCCGCACATTCATGCGGTGAGCGAGGGAAGGGCCGTGCCAAGTTGGTTGTCACACCTGTGGTGGCAGAGGTTGATAAAGCCAGACCTGCAGCAGGCAGCATCTTCTCCGTAGGTTTTCCGGGGGACTTCAGGGAGCAGAGGTGATCCTGCAGGCAGCGCTGTCCCCAAGGCTGAGTGCATGTGTGCATACACTATTTACGTGTCTGCTCTTCTCCCTCTTTTCCTGCTGCTTGCCCAGGGAACCTGCAGCTCTCGCCCGTGGGACCTGCCAGGCCTGCGTCTATCGAACGCGTTCAAGGTATCCTGGCACCCGCCAGCTCCCTCCTCCCATGGAGCTCATTGTGGAGTGTGCAGAGAGCAGCTTTCACCCTGATGTGCTCAGGGCTGGGGACTGGTGTATCACTATGTAGCCTGGCAGGGTTAGGAGGAGGCAGGATTTCCTCCGGGGCCTCAGGAGAGAACAGGCTAGCGCTGTGCACAGAGAGCCACCAGTGGAAAAGGAGAGCCTACTTGGAGAGGGCCTTTGCCTAGGATCCAGCCCCCTTTGACACCTTGCTACCAGGAGCCTTCCAGGTCTTGCTTTGCTCCTGGCCCCACGTCAGCAGGGTGTTGATGCCCATGCTCATAGGGATCACCACGGGGGTATCCACACTTGGTTTGGCCACCTGGTGCCGTAAGGAGCCTGAGGTAGAGCCAGAGAGGGAAAGAGAGGGATAAAATCAGCAGCCAGGGAAGGGGCTTTGGTGCGCTCCAGCCTTGTGTGAGGGGCTGCTGCCCCGGCGGTCAGCACGGCTCACCCGCCTGCGCGCCAGGGAGCAGTGAGGCCGCCCCACACCCCAGCCCTGAGAGCGCTGGGGGACAGTCTCAGCACGGCACTGGTCATGCAGATCCTCACGAGCTCTTGTGTGTCTCCCTGGCAGTGCCCATGCCAGACCCGAGGGCCCCTATGCAGCGTGGACCTCTACCTGCTAGTGGCCCGCCGCCCCGAGGCCTTTTGGGAGATGCCCCGAATGACCCTCGCGGAGGGACCCTGCTCTCAGTCACTGGAGAAGTGGAGCCCAGGTGAGGGGAGAGGGAAGGAGAGGAGCCCTTGGCACTGTCCCCTGCCCAAGGGTGACCTCTCGCTGAGGACAGGGATGGCACCAGCCTTCCGGGAGTCACCGCTGCCTGGTCGGAGGCCTGTGTGCTGCCGACTGCAGGGACCGGCCCGTTTCCCCGGGGACGGGGCATCCCCGGGGTGATGGCAGCAGCCCTGTGGCATGGGGCCGACAGCACCCGTCCCTGTGCCAGCCTCGCCCTCCTCCCCTGCGGCCGGCTTCAGGGGCAATCCCAGCGCTCTGCCCAGACCGTGCCAAGCCAGCGTCTGATTCACACTCTCTCGCTTTTTCTCCTCCTCCTGCTTTGCTCTCCTCGTCTCTCTGCGTCAGAGGTTACCTTGGGCCGCCCCACCAGGGAGCCCCTATGCACCATATGCCTGGTCATGACAGCCGTGGCCCCCCCCATGAGATGAGGGGGGGACCCATGGGAGAACCCCGACCACTGATGGGAGAGCCGCGGGGGCCCTTGATGGATGCTCGAGGTGAGAGAGGGGGCATGAAATAGTGGGTGGCTTAAAGCGTACAGACAAGAAGTCAGAGTGGAGCCCGCTGCCCCGGCACGAGGCGTAGGAAGGGGGTTTGGGCAGTGAAGCAACTGACCCCAGGGCAAGGAGGGACAGTCCCACGGGGCATGGGACTTCTGCCAGGCATGTCCCCTCTGCCCCCAGCTCTGCACCTTCCAGGCGTTTGCTAGCCCCCAGGCAAAGGAGGCAGCGGGCTCGCTCCCACGTTCCCTGTGGCACTGCTCCCTTCAACGGCTTGCCTTGTCTTTCCCCTGCAGTCGGAAGAGATCCCCGAGGGCTGGAGCCACGAGGATTGGAGCCGCGAGGGCTGGAGCCCCGGGTGATGGAGGCACGAGCCCTGGAGGCACGAGGCCTGGAGCCGCGGGTCCTGGAGCCACGAGTGCTGGAGGCCAGGGCCATGGAGGCCAGGGTCATGGAGCCCCGGGGCCTGGAGCCTCGAGGGCCTGGTCCCAACCCACGTGGCCCCATGCCTGGTGGGATACAGGGTCCTGGGCCACTTAACATGGGAGCCAGTGGCCCGCAGGGGCCCCGTCAGGTACAAACAATGTCTTTGCTCAGCTGGTTGGGCACTGACGGTGTCTTGTAGGTTGGGTCTGGGTTGGGGGTGTGATCGCGTCCTGCGGCAGCTAGAGAGGGGAAGGTGTCCTGCAGAGCGGCACCTCCAGGAAGCACAAGGCATGGGTCAGTGGCTCTCTGAGGGGTTTGGGGCATCAGTCCCATCTCCCCAGGCACTGCCCATCTGCCGGGGACAAGACGAAGCTCGGGCCTCTCTCTACCTCTTCCTGACGCGCAGGAAGGAGCGCAGGAGTTGGAGGGAGAGGAGAGCACGTAATACGCACGGTAGCCTGTCTCTCTTCATGCTCGGGCATCTTCAGGCTGGCTGTGGGGGCATCCATCTGATCATCTGCTTTACACCCCTGTATTTGTATGGCTGAGTCCAGAGACCCCTTGGTCCTTACCCCCTCTCTCGTGCCTACAGGTTCCTAACATGGCAGGGGCAGGCATGCAGGGAGGAGGCATTCCTGGGGCAGGGGTCCAAGGAGCTGGTCAGCCCGGAGGCTTTAGCCCTGGACAGAGCCAGGTCACCCCCCAGGATCATGAGAAGGTGAGTGGACAAAAGGGAAAAGGTGAGACACCGGGAGCAGCACTTCCTTCGTGCCTTACTGTGGCGGGGACAGCCCCTTCCTGGCTCCGGTAACCCGTGGCTGCTCTGGCAGGACATGTCTGATTCCCCCCTCTCCCCACAGGCAGCCCTGATCATGCAGGTTCTGCAGCTGACAGCGGACCAGATCGCCATGCTGCCCCCGGAGCAACGGCAGAGCATCCTCATTCTGAAGGAGCAAATCCAGAAGTCCACGGGGGCACCCTGACAGGTGATGTCCTTAACCCAGCCTCGGCCTGTGCCTGCTCCCCTTCAGTAAATCACAGAGCTGCTCAGGATGGGGCTCTACCCTGCTTTTCCTCTCCATGCCGAGGCTCACTCTCCTCCCCTTCCTTCTCGCAGGCCTGGCAGGCGCGTGGTGGAGATGCTGTCTGCCTGGACAGAGGCAACGCTCCATGGCAGCTGCTTCCCACTGCTGTCTGAGCTGATGCTGTGTTTTGGGAGAGGTTTCTCCTTCCTGCTAACGTTTTCATCCTTTTTTCTGTGTGTATATTTTATGATGTTTGAAATAAAGTGGGAGGAGGGTTTGAGTAAAGCCATGTCTCCAGCTGCCTTGTTTGGTCTCTCGTGGAGGCTGGAGTGGGACTGTTGGGTTCTGGGAACAGTCTGACCTGGCTCCAGGCTAGTCCAAACCACTCACCTTCCTCCCTTCTCCCCAGCACCAGGGCAAGATCTACATGTGGGATCTTACGTCCCGTGCTGTTCACGGCTGTTCACAGGGGCGTAACGGAAGGGCAGGACAGGGAGCTCGGCTTTCTGCCCCTGCTGACCAGGCGGGAAGGGCTCCGTATCCGATTGCTGTATCGCTTACCACGCCGGCCTCCTCAGGGAGAGTGGTTTTCAACTCTTCTCTGCATATGCTTGAGCAGAGTTGTTGCCTTTGCATGAGCTGCGTTTGAAGTCAGCCTGTGTGCTGGTGTGTGCCGGGCGGGTGGTGCAGGCTGGCTCTGGGTGGTGGCAGCGAGCCCCCGCAGAGGAGGAGTACCTTACCCTGCACCCCAGAGGGTTTGCTATGAACCAGCTTTTTTATTGCAGCCCTACAAGGGGGCAAAGAGTGGGCTCCCTTCGCACCTGCATGGACTGAGTCACCAGGGAGGCTTTTATTGCAACGGAAAGCATGTTTAATTTACCCTTTTACGCAAAGGACTGTTTAAACCCAGAGGGGCATGTTTGGCCCCCAGTGCCTGCTCGGCATGCCCCTCTCCCGTCCCCATCCCCATCCTGTGGTTCTGCCCAGCCTGCTGGGTGCTCCTGCCGCTTCCCACTGCTCCAGCAGCAGCATCGCAGTATGTGCCTCTGGTTTCTCGACGGGGGGCTGTGCAGAGCTGCAGGCCCACTCCCCCCATGGGGACCCCTTGTAGACCAGGTTGAGAAGGCGGCGGTCTTTGAACCTGGAGTTTCTCATGGAGAAGGAGTACCTTGCCATGTCTTGCCTGGATTCTGTGCACACACTCTTCAGCGGGTGCTTATCCCTGGCCACGCCAACTCACTCGGGGGTTGAGGCGAGACCGGCAGGGTCCCCTGTCCCCTGGGGTCCCAGCCTGGCTGCCACTTAGAAGTTCTCCTTGTTGAAGTAGAATTTGACCTTCCTGGGGTCCAGGCTGGAGTGTTGGTGGCAAGACTTCTGCAGGCTCTTTGCCAAGGCCCCTGGCCCGCAGAGGAACACGCCAACCACCGACCTGCACATAGCACGGGGACGTCAGCACCGGGCGGGCGGCTCAGGGAAAGGTCATTTAAGAGCTTTCCGGGGTCCCTGCAACCTGCAGGGGATGAGCACGCCCTTCCCAAAGCCAGCGCTGCCCAGCCCGCTGCTGGGTGCCAGGGAGGAGGGGGTGCCTCCCAGCTCCGGCACTCTGAGCCCCCTGCCCGGCTCTCACCTGGGGTGGGCTGCAGCCACCGCCGCAAACTCGCTGTTCCACATGGGCCGCCCAAAGATGGTTTTGTGCCTGAGGCCCGTCACCGTGTCCGTAGGGGTGTCGAAGTGGAGCGCCACGTTGTTGGCCTGGGCAGAGCAGGGACGGTGAGGACCCCAGCCACCACCCATAAACCCACCTCCAGTCCCTCACCACGGAGGAGCATCCATTGCTGATGCCCACCAAACACCGCTCCCAGACTTTCTGCCTGCAAGCCATCGACGTGCTTGCCCTGCCCCTCCTGCCTGACTTGGCCACCCCGTGTCCCCCCTTGCAGTCATGCCTGCCCGTGGTTGACTCACAATGCTGGTGTCCCAGCCAGTGAGGAAGAGACGGTAGGTGAGAAAGTCCGCCTTGCCCGACTCTGCCATCTTCTGCTCCAGTGAGGCAAGCAGGTCGTTGAACCAGGCGAAGGCTCCCGTGTCCCGGCAGAGCCAGTAGAAGTAGATCTGGGATGCAGGGGGAGAGGGGTTGCTCAAGGTGGAGCAGAGCAGGAGGGGTGGGAGGATGCAATGTCAAGGACTGGGAAGCCCAGCATGGAGAAACCCACAGGTGGTCCCATGGGACACCCCATACCTTCTTGGTCTTGAGGGTCTGGTCAGCCTGCTGGAACTTGTACCAGATGGACTTCAGGATGGAGGCGAAGGGGGTGACACCGATGCCCGCTCCCACCAGCATGGCCACCTCGTACTGGAACACGTCTTCACTGGCCGTGCCGAAGGGGCCATCCACCTCGATCCTGGCCGAGGGAGGGCCTGGGTAAGAGGTACGGCCTCCCCAAATCCCCGGCATGGTCTGTTCGGTCGCCCCCCAGTCTACCTGGGCTTCTCCAGCTTCTGCTGCTGGAAGGTGTCAATGAGACGCTCCGTCCAGTCGCCGGCCGCCCGGATGTGGATGGAGAAGAAGTCCTCCTCGGGTGCTGAGGTGAGGGTGAAGGGGTGCCACTCCAGCAGGGAGATGGCGGGGCAGTTGACAAAGATGTACTGCCCCACCTCCATGCAGAAGCCCTTCTTCTGCATCTGCAGCTCCAGCACGCGGGCAGGGTGCATGACCACCTGCGGGGCAGGGATGGGGCTCAGCACCCAGCCTGGCTCCTGTCCCTGGGCAAGGGGCTTTGGCAGCGGCCCCTACCCGCCTCTCCATGGCCACCCCGGCAAGGAGCTGCGGCACCCATAGCTGCAAGGGAAGGAGCTGGCAGTAGGCACAGGCTCCTGCACCACCCACCTTGGTGACAACCACCTTCTGCCGTGCACGCCAGACCCGGAGGATCCGCTCGAAGACGTAGAGGAGGACGGGGGCCAGAACCCACTTCCAGGACTGTGGGGATGGAGGAGAGCAAAGGGTTGGGGAGGGCCAGGGCTGGAGCATCCCAAGGGCAAGGGAAGGGCTTCTCCCCCCACAGCCGTCCCACTGCTGCCCTACCTCAGCAGGGATGCTCCCGAACTCGGGGTCTTTGCAGCAGTTGTGGCTGCAGTTCTTGTCCTTGTGCGTGAGATATTCGGCACAGCGATGGGGGTGCACCTCCTCTATGCTCTCCTCCGTTTGCCCGCGCACCAGCCCACTGCAGGGAGGCAAGGGGTGAGCCCAGGGCTGGCTCCTGCCCCCCCGGCTGGGGCTGAGCCACACTGCATGAGGCTTGCTGGGCTAGCCAGCCCTGGGAATGGGGACCCCACAGCCCCACTGGACCCTTTCTGGGGCTGCACTGCTCCCCCGGGGCCGGCAGGGCTGCCCCACCAGGCGTCTGCGGCCACTGCCCCTCGCTGTCCTGCCTTCAGGGAGCGGTGAGAGCCTTACGCGATGCCGTGGATGACAAGGCCGGCGAAGTAGATGAGGAAGAGGTGGTGCGTGTACCAGAAGACCTCGAAGTAGTTCCTGCGGATGAACTCGGTGGAGGACGTGACCATGAGGATGAGCGCCAGTGTGATGATGACCCCCGTCAGCCCCGGGATGGTGGTGAAGGCCACGTACTCGACGGTCTGCAGGGGCGGCAGGATGGGTTAGAGGGGCAGGGGACAGACAGTGGCATGGTGCTGGATGCCGGGACCAGCACTCACCGTCTGGTTGGAGTGGATGGGGTTCAGCCACTTGTTGCTGCCCTGCAGATGCATCTTGGAGAGGACAGCGGGGAGGCTGCCGTCGGTGGCTTGTTGGCTGTGGTTGTAGCGCTCCAGGTTGAAGAGGTGGGCAATGGTGTGCACGGCTGGGCGGGGGACAGGCAGTCACTCACCTGCCTGCCTCCCAGTCCCCACCGTGCCCCAGCCCGGTGCGGGGTGATACCTGTCAGCAGGGCCAGCGCGTAGGCCACCAGCTTGTGGAAGGTGAGGTTGTGGTCCAGCTGCTTCCGCAGCGTCCGTCTACAGCACTGCAAGGAGAGGCGGCGGTGTCAGGGTGGGGATGGGGATGGGGATGGGGATGGAGATGGGGACGTCCGCGCTGGCCATGCCACCGTGGGGCACTCACCGAGCAGGTCCCACGGAGGAAAGAGAGGAGGTTGCGGCAGACAGGCAGCAGGATCAGCATGCTGTTGAAGTTGAGGCACTTGGCCGATGCTCGTGCCCATGCCAAGGCGGACTGCGGAGAGGAGAGGGGGTGAGTGCCGCTGTCCTGTGCTGCAGACGGGGTACGTCTGCCTGCAGCCGCACTGCCCCCCACGGCTCTGCCCAGCATGGTGCTGTGCTGGGACTGGGACATGATGGGGCCAAGCGATGCTGAGCTGGGACTGAGTGATGCTGAGCTGGGTACTGGGAGGGAGCGATGCTGAGCTGGGGACTGGGAAGAAGCAATGCTGGCCTGGACCAGGGACTGGGAGGGGGTGATGCTGAGCCAGGAGAAGAGGGGCGACTGGGAGGGAGTGGTGCTGGGCTGGAACAGGACAGGGACCAAGATGGGGACCAGCATGAGTCCCCCCATGCCAGGCTGGGGACTGGGACGGGCTGATGGCGGGCTGGAAGAGGACAGGACAAGGAAGGGGCACAGGGTGCTGCAGCCCCCACCCCACTGCAGGAGGGCTCTGAGGGGCACGCGTGCCCAGGCAGGCAGGGTGCCTCAGGGGAGCACCTTACCCTGAGGATGGTCCTGGTGTAGAAGTACCGCTCATCCCAGTTGAAGAACAGAAAGTAGTACGTGAAGAGGAAGATGTTGATGCCCAGCCAGGCTGCCTGTGGGGGAAAGCCACGGCTTCGTGAGGGACCCCAGCCCGGGACCCCCCTCACCCTGCAGCACTCGGGTGTGGGTGCAGCCAGAGGGCATCAGGACAGTGCGTCTCCTCCTGCTTCCGTATGAGCTGCAGCAGCACGCACAGGGCTGGGACACGGGGCCAAAGGTGGGGAGAGGTGTGGGAGTCTTGCAAAATAACTGTCTTGTCACCCACGGCCCTGTGCACCACCCACGCACGAGGAAGGAGGAAAGGCAGGTGCCGGTGGAAGGGCAGATCCGGAGGGTGACTGGGGCTGAGTGGGGCTGCATGGGGAAGACTCTGGGAGGAGGAAATTTTGCAGGGAGCTGGCTCACCCAACCCCACCATGCTGCTGTCCCCTGCCTAACCCTGCTGCACCCTGCACTGACCCCTCTCACAGACATCAATTTTTTGCAGAGCTCCCAAAACCACTCTGCCTTGCATTTGTTTTGGGTTTTTTTTCTTTTTTAAGTAATTTAAAAAATGAAAATAACCCAACTTTCTGCAAAACCCCATTTTCCCATGCATTTTCAGCTCCTCACACAGCGCTGAGCAGCTGGTGTGGTGCTGGCCAGGCAAGCCCTCTTACACCAGTGATGCCACAGCATGGCACTGGCAGATGGTCCTTTTGGTATGGGCTCCTCGTCCTGGCGTGGGCTCTCGCGGGAGCCTCCTGCAGTCATGTGGGGAGAAGAGGCACGTGGGAGGCTCCTGGCCAAAGTGGCTGGGCAAAGGAGTGGTATTTTTAAATTTTGCAGCAGGACCCCCCCTTTCCTTTGAGTGGTGTTTTCCCACCCCTCCCCTGGCCACCGGGGCTTTGCAGGTTGGCTGAGCAGAGGGGATGCTTGTCCCTCCCTGCAGCCCAGCCCAGGACAGCCCATCAGCCCCCATTTCCCACACAAGCCCCCCGGAGCCGTGCCCAGACCATGCCCCCCTTTACCCCCAGCATCGCCCCAGCCCCTCCTGTCAGATGTCCCCCCCAACCCCACACACTCACAAGGACAGCGGCCGAGAACCAGTGGTTGACCAGCCAGTTGCCCATGGTGCGACGTCCCCGTGCCCGCCTGCCCGTGCCTGCTGCTGCCTGCCGCTGGCCCGCCTGCCGTTTTATGGAGGCAGCAGGCGGGGCGGCAGCCCCAGCCGTGGGACTGGCTCTGTGGGGACTTTCCCCGAGAAACCTTTGAGGAAATGTCGGGTGGTTTCAAAGGCCACCTTCCAGGAAGGCAGGGCTGACCCCATCAGCTCAAAACCAGCCCCTTGCGCTAGCTGGGCATTGCCCCCTGCTGAGGGGTTCCCCCCCGGCCCCACTGGCCGGGCGCTGCAGGGCATCACGCTGCTCCTCTCGTTTTCTTGCAATATTTGAGGACAAAAATGTGCTTTTTTTAAGGTAGGAATTTCCTGGTGGGAGGAAGTTGTGGAGGGTCTGTCCTGTGCCTGGCTCAGCAGATGTGCCCCTCCCCAGCCTCCCTGGCATCCCTCACCAGCCTCCGCTGCTCCTGTTTGACAAGAAAACCGCCAAGGGAGGAGAAGTGTCCCGGGGGCATGGCACTGCATCGGTGCCAGGATCCAGCCTGGAGATCCACCCCAGGGAGGGTGAATTAAGACTGGGCGTCCAGCACCTGAGCACCAGAGGTGCTGTGCCTCTGTGGGCTCAGCACTCTCAGCCTGGCACCCAGCACCCTCCAAACTGAGCTGACCCCACAAATGGTTTCGGGAGGGGGGGGGTGTCATGCTCCTGGTTTGGGTTGAGGACCCCTGGGTCCCATCAGCATCACCATTGCTGTGCCAGCCACCCTTCCTCTCCTGCTTGCCCTCCGCTGCAAGCTCCCAAGCTCTGCGGTGCCTGGCACTGCAGCACCCACCACTCCTGCTGGGAACAGCAGCCGGTGCCAGGGCCTCCTGCCTGGAGGAACAGGTTGGGCAGGATTGCTCCTTGCTGGCGTGCGGGGTTGCTCCTGGCCCGCAGCCAGGGCTATGCTGGCAGAGGCGCAGGATGAGGCCGTCCTCCATCCCGCCATGCTCCTGCACCTTATCGGCTTCATCGCAGGGCTCCCCCCATCCCCACTTCCCGCTGGCGCAGCCCTGGCTTAGCACCCATGAGTGTGAGGGCTACATGGGCAGTGGGCAAGCGCGCCCATGCCAGCCCTGGCAGGACAGTCCCCACCCTCTGCGTGAGTCACCGGCCACCCGCCAGCACCCAGACGTGCAGCCACAGCAAAGTTTCTTTACTGCTTAAAACAGTCCCGCCGCCACCGGTCACCCCGAGGTCACCATATGTACCATAGTGGGCGGGCGAGAGTGTCGGGGCACCCCAGGAGCTGTGCACTGCACAGCAGCCGGCTTGCAGCGGCAGGCGGTTTGGGGACCCCTTAAGTCCTTCATGTCCATACGTGTGGTCCTGGGCAGGCGGGCACGCTCCTGTCCCCCTGCCACCGCAGGGACGCAGTGGGACCTGCTGCCACTGCAGGGCCAGGAAGCGCTTGCCTCTGGCACAGCTTGTGCCGCAAGCCCCCTCTGGCTGCCGGCGCAGCCCGGCGCTGCCCGTCCCCGTAGCTGGCTGGAGAAGCCGAGTGCTGGCCGTGCCTCAGACAATGCTGTGCCTCACGCCGGGCTCGTGGGGCGCCTGGAGGTGCAGAGGAGTCCCCGGCAGGTGCTGGCGGCAGCAGACGCAGTGCAGGAAGTCGGCGACATTGTGCCGGAAGAGCTGGCGGCAGGGGTGCAGGTACTGGAAGAAGAGGAGCATGAAGTAGATGCCCAGGCAGTAGCCGAGGAGCAGCTGCACCACCAGCAGTGGGGTGCAGATGTTCTCGTAGACATCCGTCTTGAAGAAGTACCAGAGGATGACGAGGGCCGTGTTCTCCGCCAGCCGGGCCATGTAGTACACGGCCAGGCGGCCCCAGTTCTGCGACTTGTCAATGAGGTCCCGGTCAGCCAGCTTGAGCTGAACGGCCGACCAGCAGAACATGTTGATGCTGGCGTAGAGGAGGGTGAAGGCACAGAGCACCACCACCGTGCCCACCCGGCTGAAGTTCTTCTCTATGTTGTCAGGCAGGCGGGTGCCGCTCCGCCAGAACTGCACCCAGGGCAAGAAGAAGACCACCAGCAGGTTGGCCAGGGCGATGGGGATGATCCAGTGCTTGAAGACAGTGCTGAAGAGCACGAGGACGGCCACGCGGGTAGAGATCTCCAGGCTGCGCCACAGCACAATGCAGAGGAAGGCCAGCGGCCGCAGCTGGACCTTGTAGTCATCATACTTGACCTGGATAGCCAGGATGTTGCAGACGAGCGCCCCGTAGGTGACCGACACCAGGCAAATGCCCATGAGGACGGCTGCAGAGGAAGAGGGCAGGGGAGTCAGGCAGTGCCGGGGACCGGGCTGTGTTCCCGGCCTCTCTGCTGCCCTGGGTGCAACGCGTGGGGTGCCAACCCTGGGTGTGAAGTGCAGGGTGCCAAGCACCAGGGCTTGCAGCAGGAGGCTCAGTGTGAGCACTGCTGGGACAGCTCGTGGCTGGTGGTGACAGACCCCCGCGATGGGGTGGCTGTGGGGGAGCACTGCAGGCAGCAGGAGGCTCTGCTCTCAGATTTTCTCCCTACACCAATAAACCAGAAGCCTTTGCCAAACTGGGGCTGTTCCTGTGCTTGAACCAGGCACCAACCCCCCTGCTCTGTGCAAGAAATGCTGCTCAAGGGCGAGTGGGGCACGGTCTGTGTTGCAAGCATCCCTCTATCCTCACCCGGGCCAAGAGCCACACCACCATAGCCCACCATTCACCCCATTCACCCTGTGAGCACCTCAAGAGCCACCCTTGTCCAGGGGCTGCAAAGCCAAAGTCATTCATAGGGAACACGGGCAGCTGCTCGCATTCAGCGCAGCCAGGAAAACCGTGACGGAGAAAAAGGGAAGCATGCGGTGGGTCCCAGTTGCGCCGTGCCAGCGGCGGCGGCTGCAAGCTGTGGGGCTGAGCTGAGACACCCGAGCTGTGAGGGAATCACCCAAAACGTGTCAACTGGGATTTGCTTCCCGCATCTCCTGCTGGAGGAGCGCTGGGATCATCCTCCTGCCTCTGCTATTCCTACTCCCCAAAACACCCTTGCAGGGGGCCATGGCCAAGGAGGGGGTTTCTATGGGGCATCTCCCGTGTTCCCTTTTCCATGCGCCTGCCGTGGGCACAGAGGGCAAGGCCTGGGCTCCCAGCACAGCTGGGAGAGGGTTGGCGAGGGCAGCTCCTTCGCTGGGCGCTACAATCGGAAAGGTGCAAGAGCACTCCTGCATGCCTGGCTCGGTAGCATGCTGAAGCAGGAGTTAAAAGCTTCCTCCGGCACATCCAGCCCCTGAGCACCGCAACACCCCGGGAGCAGGTGAGGGAGCCTGGGAGCGCTGGGCATTGGGAAAGGCACAGAAATAGATCTGACAGAGGGAGCATGGGTGCTGGGCTGGGAGCTCCAGCATTGGGAAAGACGCAGAAATAGATCTGACAGAGGGAGCATGGGGAAGCCAGGAGCCGTAACTAATGCAGTAACTAATGCAGACTGGAGCAGCCTGGGGCAGGGGCACGGCATCTTTATGGGACGGGGCACCAGGTGGATGGCACGGCTCTGTAGGGCAGACGTCTGCAAGCACCGGGGCTGGGAGCAGAGCCTGGCGCCTCAGTCACAGCCAGTTCTTCCCACTCTCCCCAGCCTCACTCCAAGCTGGAAAGCAGAGCGCTGGGCGTGGGAAAAGCAAACCAGGGGACAGACAAGTGCCCAACCTCTGCGGGTTGCGCTCCACGTTTAGGGGAGTCCGGTAGCAGCCGTGCCCCCAGCAACGCCCCAGAGCTTCGTTCGGATGCCACACCGGCACATGCGGCTAAGGAGCTGCCACCGTGCCCTGGTGGGGTCCTGCCTGCACGGCCCCGGGGGAGCCCATGTGCCAGGCACCCTTACCTCGGGCAGCAGGGACGTACTTCTCCAGGATGCTGATGTAGAGCTGGAGGGTTAGCTGTGGGGTGGAGCCCAGGAATGCCTGGATGACCGCCATGCGCTTGAAGGCATTGCGGTGCGTGGCCAGCCGGCGCACCGAGTGGCCCACCTCCTGCTCCATCTCCACCTCGTAGCCTTTCCGCAGCCGCCGCTTGCGGGTGATGGTAACATAGGGCTCCTCCTCCTTCCCCGACCAGCAGTACACCACCAGGGCCTCCATGCACCTGTGGGAACGCAGCAGCCATCACCCTGCCAGCCTCCCCACTGCTCTCCAGCCCCGCTCCCTGCGCCTCCAGCCCCGCCTTGTCTGGTGCCGGCCAAGGCCCTGCTCCTGCCAGGCACAGCCCAGCTGATTTGGGCAACTGTTCAGCCGCACTGCGGGTAGTCCCTGGCCCTGGGATGTCAGGATGAGGGCAGGGTAACACCAGGACCATGGGGATGCCCCGTGGCTGCTCCTCTGCTCCAGCGCTCAGGGTGAAGCGCGTGGGGCAGGGGGACAACAACTGCCCCAGCGAGGGGTGCAACAACTGCTGCAAGAGGTGCAGCATCCAGGGTATGGAAATTTTAGCTCTGCTGGGAGCCAGAGCTACAGGAAAGGGTTAATCACCCTCAGGCTCTGTTTTCCCCACCAGCACAAATCATATCTCTTCCTCTAAGCAGAGGCAAGAGAAACTTTCTGATACTGTCTTTGATCTCTCCTCTTAAGCAGAAGCCTTCTACGCTTCCTTCTTGGTGGGGACGGCAGGAAGGGGAGCGCAGGGTGAAGCCGTGTGTGTCATGGGCAGATAAGACAGCGCTTCCGCAGCCCCCTCCCCACAGGGCATGCTAACGTGCAGGCAGGGGAGGCGGGTTTCTCCCATGCTGCTCCCCGCTGCAAGGCCAGCGGGCAGCGGGACCCCCAGCCCCTCCGCACACAGCCATGCAAGTGGGTGTGCGTGGGCCAGAGGCTATCAGCAGAGGAGGACCCATCCAACAGGCTTGGCTCCTGCCCGGGGATGAGCTGGCTCTGGGACCAACAGGACGTAATTATTTATGAGTGTTCATTAGGACAGCAGAAGTTGCTCTGTTTCAGACCCAAATGGAATGAGGTTTTTGGATAAATTCTCCTGCCAGATCAGGCCAGCACTTGCGGCTCATTGCAAACTCTAACGGGAAAATGTTTTCATCCAGAAGGCCCGGTTTCAAGGGCAGTCCCAGCTGGCTCCCGGTGCCCTGCCAGACCTTCTCAGCAGTCTGGGCTCCATCTCCAGCCCCAGGAGCCGACTGAAGCAGCCTCCCCCCGAGCGGCTCTGGCTGGCACTTGCAAGCAGCCAAGCACCTTTGTAACCGCTCAGACAGCCGTGGTTGATCTGGTGAGAGCTGTGACACCACAGTGGGCCAGCGCGGGCTGGGGTAGACCCACAGCCCTTCCAACAGCTGGTGGTGCTGAGGTGAGGTTCCCCGGCCGCTTCTGAAGATGAACAAACCGTGGTGACAAGGATGCCCCCGGCACCCTGCTTGTTTCCGGTGATGGAGGAAGCACAGTGCAGGCCGCAGTGTTTTTGCAGCGCTGTGGGTATAGCGCGCCCTGAAGCGTGGCTGCCGTTGTTCCCCCAGGGAAGGAGCCCCGTGAAGATGGCGGCTCTGCCGTGCCGCTTGCTGCACATCCTGTGCACTCTTGCCGAGCAGGATGGCCGGGGTGATGGCAGCCCAGGGAGGCACGGCAGCATTCCCAAGGGGTGAGAGATCAGCACCTCTCCAGCTTATGCAACATCCACCCCCTCATCCTCCTCTCCCCAGTGGGGTCCAGCAGCCCCCAGCTCCCATGTCAGCCCTAATCCTGCACCCAACTCCTCTCCTCCATGTCCTGTAACCCATCCCTGTCCCAGGCCCGGGGACCTTTTCCAGGGGGCAGAACCCCTGTTCCTATTCACCCTCAAGCACCCCAGCCGGGATTTGCATCTGTGCTCCCAGCCTAAGCAAGACAATGGCAAAACCCAGAGGCAGAGGGAAACGCTGGCTGCAGAAAGCGACCACGCAAAGAACCTTTTCAGCAGCTGAGATGCAACAGGCTGGCAGAGCCGAATCTGGCCCAGAACGGTGGTCCAGCAGGCAGGAGAGCAGGCGGCACCCCCGGCAGGACCGCGGCACCGCTGGGAGGGGTGGCTGAGCAGAAGACCCCCGCAGGCTGGGAGTGCCCCTGGGGAGCAGGGGGACGGGGACCCGACAGGAGCAGCTCTGGGCACGCCGGGGTTTGCTGCACGGACAGATTTCTGCTGACAGCCAGCGCTCGGAGCCCCCCGCCCTGCCCGGCCCCCGGTCCCTGCTCTCACCCGGTGCCCGCGGGACTTGCCGGGGGTCCCCGCGTCCCCTGCCGCGCTCACCTGATGATGGGCCCGAGCTGGAGCAGGTGCATGAGCAGGACGAGGGGGCGGTCGCGGCTGAGGTCGCGGTGCACGAAGATGAGGGTGAGCTGCACCAGGACGGAGGGGCAGAGCACGAAGAAGACGGTGAGCGC